CACAATCCTGAAGAACACCTCGGACACAATTCTGAAGACACCTCGGACACAATCCTGAAAGACACCTCGGACAACAATCCTGAACACCTCGACACAATCTGAAGACACCTCGGACACAATCTGAAGACACCTCGGACACAATCCTGAAAGAAACACTCGGACACAATCCTGAAGACACCTCGGACACAATCCATTGAAGACACCTCGGGACACAATTCCGGAAGACACCTCAGACCCACAATCCTAAAAAGACACCTAGGACACAATCCTGAAGACACCTAGGACACAATCCTGAAGACACCTAGGACACAATCCTGAAGACACCTAGGACACAATCCTGAAGACACATAAGACACAATCCTGAAGACAACTAGGACATAATCCTGAAGACACCTCGGACACAATCCTGAAGACACCTCGGACACAATCCTGAAGACACCTCGGACACAATCCTGAAGACCAGTAACCTCCTCACATGAATGAATTAGACCATTATATTTAGACTGCCTACTGGACGCAACAGACTCTGCAGTCATATGTACAAGAAAGTTAAGATGTGAAATTCAGAACTTTGCCCAGGTGCACAGGCAAACACTGAATCCCGTACATGTGCTACAAGCTTGCTCACTACATGCAGTAGAGAGATCCCAGATTTGGCCGGTTGGTTTTTCAATTGAAATTAAGTTGTATGGAACATGGAAGATATGCATGGCAACACAGGCTTCATAGAGGCATGTAATCTTTGCCTCTAAAACCAGTGGCACAGAGAATGAAAAAAAAGAAAGAAGAAGCCTAGTTTCAGATTGCAACCCAAAACTTTCAGGCTTGGTGGTGAAGTATTTTATTGAGTGCATACAATTACTTTCTTTGGCCACATAATGAGAAGAGAGACATTGGAGAACATCATGACAACTGGAAAGATCAGTGGCAAAAAGGGGTAGAGGCTGACCAAGAGAGATGATTCTGGATGGGCTGAAATGATGGCATGAAGGGATATCATCAAGAGGGCTGTTCCAGGCAACCAGGGATCGTGTTCTGTGGAGATGTATGAGCGCTTATGCCAGTTGGCAGGGCACATGATGATTATGAATACAATTGTTATACAAAAGACTGTGTTAGCTGTGCTGACACAGATGCAGTTTTAAATCACAATAACTCAGAGGTAAGTCTACAAGACTGCTACCGACTTTAGACCAAAGAACCCCAGTGTGTTGAGATTGGGAAACTTTGTTTTCTTTCTTTCTGACTAATAAAGTTCTGAGGTCCACACTGAACTACAAAGTTGTCTGAATTTGTTCTTCTCTTTTTCTTAGCGGTCACCAACTGTAAACTTCAAGTTCTGGTTGTCTGTCCACTCCTGGACTTTGGTTTTTAGATAACTTGAGTTTTGCATGCACATCTGTTTTACAGATCCAGCTTATTTGTATGCAAAATGTTGGTTACTTGCCTCTTAGACACATGCACCCTGTAAAGGAAATACCCCTATTTATTTTCTTCCTATGGCATGCTTGATAGGAGGGCAGTGAGCTTATTCTTTGTTCTAAAAAACGGAGTCCTGAAAAACTCAGACAGTGAATTTTCTAAATTTTGTAGAAGCTGTGTCTGAAGGAATGGCATGAGAAATGTTAATTGAAACTACTCCCTCTTTATATGATGACCAATATGTGATGGTAATCACATATTCTAACACATCTGCAACATCTGTCAAGGAAATACCTTTTTTTGTAAAAAAAAGTACAGTTCTCACAACAAACGCAGACATGTGGAAGGTCAACAATATCAGTGATGGTGTCACAGTAGTGAATCACGGAAACTGTGAGCAGTAAACAAAGTTAACAATATAAACTGTATTGTTACAAAATTGTTTTACAATAATTAACTGAAAAATCTCATAATTTAATTGGGGAAGAATATTTTAACATGTGTGGGTCGTATTAGTCACACTCTTGACCCCCATGGGCTGTGATCTTCAAAATCCCCCCTAATGGCTGTAAATCATTCTCATATGGATAACCTACAGCCTCAATAGTTAACTGATAAAAATAAAGGCAAAATACACACGAAAAGGCAATAACAATAAGTAAAAATCTGTATACTTAACAAAATAAACGTTGTTTAGGCAAACATTATAATTAAAAAAAAAAAAGGTAAAAATGTTAAATGTTAAAAAAAATGTAAATCATATGTACATCAGAGATGACAGTATAGACATTATATCCAAAAACGATTTCATTCCTTATTTCATGCATAAAAACATGCAAATATTTACTTGTGTGAAATATGACAAAATGCATAAGATTGCTACTTAGTTAATAACAAAATAATAAAACAATAAATGTATTTCATTTTTTTATTTTTAAAAAAAATTGTAGGTGTAATTTTTGTGTGCAACATTTAGGGAAAAGAGTCTTTCAGCATGAGCTTTTTATTTGAATGGTTGAATGACAGTAGACCACGTAACGGACCAAGAAGATTTTTGAGTGATAATTTACAGAGAGACCTAAAAAAACACGGGGTCACAAACTTGAAAGAGTAGGCAAGTCAGAGAAATGAATAGAGACAGGTGATATTTGCAGCAATGAACCTCAAGGGCTTGGAACATAGAAGAAGAAGCTTTCTTTCTCTTCTCATCTTCTAATTCAGTGTCAATAATTTTCTTACTCTTGATCTATGGCATTGTGTGAAATTTTCTGTAGCATTTTTCTCATTTAGTGATTGTGAAATGGTCTATGATTCATCAGGATACATCTGCCAGTGGAAAGATTCATGCAGTTTTGTTGTTGTTGTGCTGCAAGATAATATAAATGTCTTTGCTTAATTGCAAATTCATGCAGTTTTTTTGTTGTGCTACAAGATAATAAAAATGTCTTGGTTTAATTGCAAATTCATGCAGTTTTTTTGTTGTGCTACAAGATAATATAAATGGTTTAATTGCAAATTCATGCAGTTTTTGTTGTTGTTGTGCTACAAGATAATATAAATGTCTTGACTTAATTGCAAATTCATGCAGTTTTTTTGTTGTGCTACAAGATAATATAAATGTCTTGGCTTAATTGCAAATTCATGCAGTTTTTTTGTTGTGCTACAAGATAATATAAATGTCTTGGCTTAATTGCAAATTCATGCAGTTTTTTTTGTGTGCTACAAGATAATATAAATGTCTTGGCTTAATTGCAAATTCATGCAGTTTTTTTGTTGTGCTACAAGATAATATAAATGTCTTGGCTTAATTGCAAATTCATGCAGTTTTTTTGTTGTGCTACAAGATAATATAAATGTCTTGGCTTAATTGCAAATTCATGCAGTTTTTTTGTTGTGCTACAAGATAATATAAATGTCTTGGCTTAATTGCAAATTCATGCAGTTTTTTTGTTGTGCTACAAGATAATATAAATGGCTTAATTGAAAATTCATGCAGTTTTTTTGTTGTGCTACAAGATAATATAAATGTCTTTACTTAATTGCAAATTCATGCAGTTTTTTTGTTGTGCTACAAGACAATTTAAATGTCTTTGCTTGATTGCAAATTCATGCAGATTTTGTTGTGCTACAAGACAATATAAATGAGGTTTGAGATTTGAACAACGGATCAACATCACGGCACACGGGTAGTAACCCATAAGTGCTCCGTTCTTCTTCTAACTCAAGTCTGAGTCCAAAGAAACTTAGCACAGTTACAATCTCTGTAGCACCGGCGAGGATCCTGAAATACTTTGGGTAGATTTTTAGCTCCCGATATTTTGCCTGTGCAGTTCCGTTAGACTACTCTTGTTTTTTTCATTTCCAACTGCCAAGGGAATTTTTACGTGCGCAACAATGCACACGGGTATCTGATCTCACTCCAAGTCCAAGTTCACGTGAAAAAATCCCAGCCCTTGCCAGGAATTGAACCCGGAACCTCTAGCACTCAAGGCAGACACCATGTCTTGAGACCAAGCAGTCCCCGACAATATAAATGTCTTGGCAGCATAATTGCAATAAAAGTCATGAAGATATACCAGTGAAAATCCTGTGGAGCAAGGCATGTGGGGGAAATTTATAAAAAAGTATCTCGCCCCCCCCCCCCCCCCCCCCCCCCCAATTAAAAAAACAAAACACACACACACACACACATCCTAAAACAGTGATATAACACAGGCATGCAAGGACAAAAGAGTTAGGATTTATACAAGAATTGAGAAACCTGCTAAAGAAAGAGGACACTGGAAGGACATGATCTGAAAACATCAAAATGAGTTCATATTAACATGCTTATTATAAGGTACATTCACTGTATAGTTATAGTTTTGCTCAGTTACAACATGCATTAACTTATTTTTTTTTTTAATGGTTAATATAAACACTGTATTACTTCAAAATAAAAACCTTACATTTCAATTGTAATTATTATTTGAGTCTCCACTGTCTGCTGATTAATCTGATGATCCATTTTTTCTTCACCTAAAGATTCATCCATCACATACTTGTCTTTATTTGTAGCAAATTAATATATTTAAAACAAAGAAAAAAATTGCCTAAATGTTCAGTTAAAGGTCAAGAGTAATAATTTGGGACAATGACAAAAATTCGAGCATTTAGGGACACGAATAACACAAATTGAAATATTTAACACAGGGATAAAGAAAATAGAAAAACGAAAACTGCTTATTATAAAATGAAGAACATCTAGTGCAATAAATTTCTGTCAGTATAGGTTTGAAAATAAGAATATGTGCAAATTACATAGAACCAGCTTTAACACAATTGTGCATCTTGGACAATTAGTAATCATAAAAAGCATTAAAGGCCTTAGAGATGTGGTTCTAAAGAATAATCTTTAAAATATTTTAGACAGTTTTTTAAAAAAAAAAAAAATCACTTATCATAAAAGACAGAAACAGAAAAAAAAATATTTTGGATCCACATTATAAAAGAGAAAATGCTGAATATTTGAAAAAAAAAAAAAAAAAAAAAAACAAGATAAGAAAGATTCATGGAGATAAGAGGCGATTTAACACAGCCTTTTGTTATTGCATACGCGGGTGATGGCAAACTTACTAATGCATGGTGTTACAAATGCAAGATGCAGAGGAACATGAACGCCAGTCTAGTCAGGAAATCACTTGATGATGATGATGATGATGATGATGATGATGATAATGCTGGTAAAGATACATTGCCACACAGCACATCAAAAGCTAATCACAGATTTAGAAGACCAAAGTGCTGTTTTTCACTGAAGGTGACATTTTAGCTTTTAGCAGGTCCAGAGTGTCTGTTATAAACATAGATGTTAAGAATCTATTATGTAGCAGACTAGTTTTTATTTTTTTTAAAATTATCTCTGCACTAAGACTAAGCATTAAAAAAAAAAAATTTTGTGTACACTGGCTTAGTATCTTATCTTTGCCCTAAGACTTAGTTATTAACTCTACACTAATATATTATTTAAATCTTTGCAATTGAATCTTAATTTTTTTTATATCTTTGCCCTATGTTAAAACTTATGTTTTCTTTTTCAATTTGGCACCAAGACTTATTTTTCTCTTAGGACTAAAAACCTATGTTACAATAGTTTTCACAGGGAAAAAAACCACATAATTAATAATTTCTTGTACTATATTTCCAGCACGCTTTTAGTTACATTATTTACTACAAATAATCAACCAATTATTACCTCACAAAAACAGTAACTTTTCCTATCTTATTATAATGAGCATCCATGCATTTATCAACAATATAAACTTCTGTTACAGAACTAAATAGTTATGAACAAACACGCAAACCAATCAGTGGCACAGAAGACTAGCAGTGCCCAAAACATTTTTATATGACCAATGACTTGCAAACAAACAGAACAAATAAAGTCAGTCTCACATCTCCAGGCGTTTGTCTCTGATGCTTCAATCAAGCAAAGAAAAAAGAAAAATGAAAATGCATTTCAAGGATGGACAAATTCAACAAAGCTGAGGTGTTATTATTAGCAGCAGTTATGGTAAAGATGTGCTTAATTTGTTCTGTGTAAAGCAAATGTTACTTTAACTGATGCTTCAGCCCAGCACAGGTATAAAGATTTATGAATACGCCAACAAGGTTGGACATATTCAGCAAAGCTGAGATGTCAGCAGCAGCAATTATGATATAGCTGTAAAGTCTTAGGGAGTTGTTTCTTTTACTTCTTCTGTGTAAAGCAACTGTTACTTTAACTGATGCTTCAGCCCAGCACAGGTATAAAGATTTATGAATACGCCAACAAGGCTGGACATATTCAGCAAAGCTGAGATGTCAGCAGCAGCAATTATGATATAGCTGTAAAGTCTTAGGGAGTTGTTTCTTTTACTTCTTCTGTGTAAAGCAAATGTCCCTTTAACTGATGCTTCAGCCCAGCACAGGTATAAAGATTTATGAATACGCCAACAAGGCTGGACATATTCAGCAAAGCTGAGATGTCAGCAGCAGCAATTATGATATAGCTGTAAAGTCTTAGGGAGTTGTTTCTTTTACTTCTTCTGTGTAAAGCAACTGTTACTTAAAACCAGGGTTTTTTTTACAGACACAGTACTGACACATGTTTTTCTAGGGGAAAAAAGCTGTTTAAAAACTAATAAATTTTGGATATACAGTTCAAATTGTAGCTCTGCTTGGCAGAAAGATACTTATTTTTCTTCTTCTGCGTTCATTAACAGAAAGAGTTAAAAATAACAACTTAAATTCAAATCAGCATCTTTTACTCCTGCTGCTGCTTCTCCTTTGTCTTCTTTGTTTCGTTGTCTGTACTTTCCTCATCATCTCTTCCACCTCATCCTAATCTTTTTCATCTTCTTTGTCATCTTTTATGCTTTTATTGTCAACATCTCTGTTGTCTCCTCATCATCCCTCTCATCCTTCTCTTCTTATTTGTCCAATTTATCTTCATTATCCCTCTTGTCCTCTTTATACACCTTTTTCTCTTCCTCTCCGGCCTTGTCATCTTGGTTGTCTTCCTCCTCATTTGACATATTTCTAAAGCTGGTGTTGCTTTAATTATTATTTCTTGATCAGTTGTTTAAACTTTCCATATACACGTCTCCCACTTTCTTTGTCTTCTTGTCCAGTTGTTTTAACAGTCCACATACACATGTCTCTCTCTTTCTTCGCATCTTTTGCCCAGTATTTTTCACACAGGTGTATTTCTTTAAATTAAATTTTCTGCTGATATGCCACATAACTTTCATTTGTCCTTTTCTTACGGTTTTGATGAGTGATCTCATTTTCTTATGATTTTGATAAGTGATCTATTGTTTTAAATGGTTTTGATAAGTGATCTCATTTTCTTATTGTTTTGATAGATGTTCTTATTTTCTTATGGTTATGATAAGTGATCTTTTAACATTTTCAGCTCTCAGTACCCCAGTATTAGTTTTCACCTCATCAGTTCCAACCTCATAGGAAATTGGTCACCCCATAGATGCTCCATTCCCGAATGAAACCACACAGAATATCAATTACTGTCTCTTGTGAAAATAAAATTGACATAGACTGTAATCTTAGCAAATCCAGCAGCATACACGCATATTAAATGCATAAGGCAGCATTTAGAAGTGCAATTACAAACAATCCAACACTAGAATTACAGCTCATTTTAGGATATAGATAGGTCCTGTATGCTTGCTTACTTGGCTGACGATGTTAGGTTTGAATCTTTGAGGCAGATTTTTATTATTGGCCTAGCTCTTCCACACCAACCCAGCTTAAATTAGTACCAGAAAATATTCAGAGAAGTAAAATCAGCTGGCATAGTATTTGACCTCATCGCTCATCTTCACTCTTTTTCTTCTTTGAGATTTCACTGATGCCAGGTTGTAGCCCAGTATCAAGGTTTTCTGTATTTATCTTGCACTTCTCAGGTGGCTTAGGTGACAGATTTGTTCATCTATTTTGCAGGTGTCAGCTACACAAATTATCCATCTCTTTCTTGGTCTTCCCCTCGTCATCACTCATCAAATGCCAGATACTCTATACAAATATGCATCCAGCACCACATACCTAATGTGTCAGTGGAGTCAGAATATTAGTTTGTTTTTAGCTAATTAAAAGCAATAGAGATCAAATTAGTTAATGTAACAACTGGATGCGACAGAAGAAATTAAAAAAAAATATCTTTGTATTTAGTTACTTTTAAGTGCTAGCTGTTTATAATTAAAAAACAAAGTATACCTTAATATTTCAACTTTTTGGGCACAGGGAATGTATCGTCTGTTAAAATGTAACTTATTTAACTAAATTCTTTTACTGAAAGAGTTTTAAATAATACTAAATTATTTCTAATAACAATATTAACCTACACATTTTAAATGATGTTACACTTAATTTTTTTTATGACTGTAAATTTCCACATATTAAATAAATTAATACGAAAATGTTTCCAATTTAAATGTAAACCTTTAAATTTCTAATAATATTAAACATCAAGATTTCTAATCAAAATGTAAATATCACAGTTTTAAATAATTTAATATGAACTCTTTGAATACTCATATAATTTGTAAAAAAAAAATAGTATTCAACAATAAAATTTGATATTTCTTATTTATAACCTAAAAATGCACAATTTATAATAAACAAATTGACATGAATTGTTTAACTTATTTATAATTTATACTAATTTATGCAAGTGTCTGTATGCATAAGTAATCAAGATTTGCAGACACCAATATCTTCACCACTTAAAGCCAATATATTTAAAAAAGATACAAACACATTATTTTCTGAAAATGTTACTATAGCAAAAAAAAAAATTAAAGAAAAAATATGTAAAAAGGGTTAATAAAAGAAGGAAGTGTTACTAGAACTATGATATATGGGTGAGAAGTCAAATATATGTATGTACATAAATATTATAAATAAATAAACTCTACCTTTTTCTAGCTCTATTGATCCACTGTCTTAGTTTTATTTGATGATTCGCCAAGCGCATGCTAGTGAGAGCAAGTTTTTAGTTCTTTAATACAAATTCTAAAATATACTGGAAAACTAAATTAGTTTTTTGGAAAGGTTAAAAACTCACAAATGTGTAGCCAGGAATATCTTTAGTGTCAACAACCAAAAGGTGTCTATCTCATAAAATTATCTTTAAATGCAGATAACACGTGGAAGCAATGGTTTGATAGTGTTAGAAGTGGAAACCCATCTCCACTTAATTAAAAAAATTTTACAGACAAATAATTCTTGGCTACAAGGTTACATTAGTTAGATTTGTTTACATGCCAGGCAAGCAGTTTTAATGAAAATACTAAAAAAGCTAAACAGTTTAATTGTTAAAGATATTTTCTTACTCAGAAATATCGTGAACTCTCTTTCATTAAAAGCCAGCTCTCATGGTAATAGTTTCTATCTTATGCATCTGTACTTTAGAGTAACAATATTATAGTCATTATTAATTTAAATAATACAATTACAGCACACAAAGGATAAGAATAGGGGGTATCTTTTGGCTTTTTTCTCCACTGAATGCAGGTGTGTTAGGAAATGGACAAGCAGCTAGATGGACGCTGGTTCTGCACCACTTGGTGGTGAGTTGATGCATGACAAGGAAGATCTGATTAAAAACACTTTGCAAGCGACTGAATAATATGCCAGTAAAACAGATCATCATGGTGAAGAAAGAATTGTGTAGTTATCGGAGAATCTGGTAGGCACTCAATGCTCAGAGGAAAGGCATGATGAAACACACCACCAGACTACAACTAGCACAGTTAATAATGGACCTGTGCTGTCTGCTGAAGATGAGGATGTAGCCTTTTACTGGAATGCACCTATTGCTGTTATGCAGGCAGGTTCTTAACTCTTCATGCTCTGTATTCCTCTGCAGGTTCCAAAATACCTTTTCATTTTACATGATCTTGTAACAACTTGCCACAGACAATCCCCTTGTGGGTTCTATGGCCCAAATGGAGGGAAGAATAGAAAAAAGGGGTGGGAGGGGGGCCACCCCGTTTTTACTCCCACCACAACAAGCATGTTGTGAAAGGTGAATAACTGAGGTGTTTCTGTTGAAGATGATGTACATCTGCCCTTAGGTGTTTCTGTTGAAGATGATGTACATCTGCCTGAGGTAAGGAACTCACAATCTGCTTACAAATAAGCTAGATTTATAAAACATATGTGCATGCAAACTTATTTTCTAAAACAAGACCAAAGTGCAGAATTTGATGAAAACCCAGAGCTTTCTACTGAAGTTTACAGCCAGTGCATGCTGAAGAAGAAGAAGAAGAAGAAGAAAAAAGAAAAAGAAGAAGAAGAAGAAGAAGAAGAGAAGAAGAAGAAGAGAACTGCATACAAAATATTTCTTATTCTTGGCATTAATGAATGGTCTGTACAAAGTTAATATTGTTTTAAAATGCTAAAGTGTAAAGTTTTTAAAAAGAAGTTTTGATATATATCATGAGTGACATTTTAAAATTTTTGAAACCTTGAACTCAAAAAGATTTGTTTGATAAAAATAGCATTCATAATTACACTAAGACAAACTGAAACAATTAAATTCACAGCACTGCAAAATAGAAAAGTTGAAAATGTTATTACACACTGTAATACAATTAGTTCTGGTCAAGTAATGCTCCATGTATAATTAGTTTTCTGTCTATGTGAATAAGGCAAGGCATTTGATGTTAATATGCCTTTCCTGTCTGGTCTGAGCATACTAAGAAAATCTAGCTAGATATTTGAACATGCTGCAGTTTTATGAAATTATACTGTGTATGCTTTCTTCAGTGTGATTACTCCACCACAAAGTATCCTCGGGAGTCGCTGTGGTGTAGCTGCTAGATGCGCGCCTGTGGATGGGAAGGTTGTGGGTTTGGGTCCTAACAGAGCTAGAGATTTTTTCACAAAAATGACCTTGCTCACAGGTTGACCCAGCCTTTAATGGGTACCAGGTGCAGTCCTTGGAAGTCAAGGTGGGAGGCTTAAAGCTGACCACATCAACCACCAAGTGCCGACTGGTCTATGTAATATAGGTCTGGTCCTATATGCTTAATAAGCATAAAGGTGTGGAAAAGGGTCCTTTTTTTACTTACTTATGAAATATTCTCAGCAGGTCCGAAAGTATTATTAATCTTCTCAACTTATAAAGACAAATAACAATTAATAATTATAAAATATTAACAATATTAATATATGCAAAAGTCTCACAAAGAGTCACATACAGGCATTGGTTATACACATTTGTACAGTATACCTGATAGCACTTCCTATATGCCCATTTGGTAATCGACTCCGAGCTGCCAGCCAATCACTACTGCCCACAGTTCCTGGGTCATGACCCAGCTGTGTCAGTAGTGGAGAAAATGATGTATTTCCTTTCCCATCACCAGGATCTTCTTCAATGCTGCCTCGCTTTGATCGCTCTTTTGATGATATATCAATGTCATTATTATTGTCTTCATTCTCTTCTTCGTCCTCAGAGATTGATGGTAAAGTGATAACAGGTGCAGCCGTGGAAGATTCATCCTAAGGAGAAAGAGAGCGAGAGAGAACAAACTGAAATTGATGGTAAAGTGATAACAGGTGCAGCCATGGAAGATTCATTTTAAAGAATGAGAAGAAATTCAAACTGAAGTGAAAACAGGTGAAGCCATGGAAAATTGATCCTGAAGAGAGAGAACACATTTAAACTAATTGTAAAATGATAACAGGTGCAGCCATGGAAGATTCATCCTAAAGAAAAAAATAAATTTGAATTGATGGTAAAATGATAACAGGTCAAAGCATTGACAAATTATCCTTAAGAGAGAAAATAAATTTAATTTGATTGTAAAATGGTAACAGGTGCAGCCATGGAAGATTCATCCTAAAGAAAGAGAACAAATTCAAACTAATGTTAAAGTGATATCAGAGGCAGTTGTAGAAGATGCATCCTAAAGAAAGAGAACAAATTCAAACTAATGTTAAAGTGATATCAGAGGCAGTTGTAGAAGATGCATCCTAAAGAAAGAGAACAAATTCAAACTAATGTTAAAGTGATATCAGAGGCAGTTGTAGAAGATTCATTACAAAGAAATGGTAGAAATTTGGATTGATGGTAAAATAATAACATGTGCATTGTTAAAGATTATTTCTAAAGTGAGAGAATAACTTCAGTCTGATGGAAAAGTGATAACAGAGGCAGTTGTAAAAGATGCATCCTAAAGAAAGATATAAAATTCAGATTGATGGTATAGGGATGACAGGTGCAGCGAAGGAAGATTCATCCTAAAGACAGAGCACAAGTTCATATTGATGGTAATGTGATAACAGAGGTGGTTGTGGAAGATTCAACTTAAAGAAAGACAGCAAATTCATACTGATGGTAATGTGAAAACTGGTGCAACTATGGAAGAATGATCCTAAAGAAATAGAACCAATTCATATTATGGTAATGTGATAAGTGGTGCAACTATCAAAGATTCTTCCTAAAGAAAAAGAACAAATTCATACTGATGGTAATGTGATAACTAGAGCAACTATGAAAGATTCATCCTAAAGAAAAAAAACAAATTCATACTGATAATAATGTTATAACTGGTGCACCAATGGAAGATTCATCCTAAAGAGAAAGAACAAATTCATACTGATGGTAATGTGATAACTGGTGCAACTATGAAAGATTCATCCTAAAGAAAAAGAACAAATTCATACTGATGGTAATGTGATAACTGGTGCAACTATGAAAGATTCATCGTAAAGAAAAAGAACAAATTCATACTGATGGTAATGTGATAACTGATGCAACTATGAAAGATTCATCCTAAAGAAAAAGAACAAATTCATACTGATGGTAATGTGATAACTGGTGCAACTATGGAAGATTCATCCTAAAGAGAAAGAACAAATTCATACTGATGGTAATGTGATAACTGGTGCAACTATGAAAGATTTATCCTAAAGAAAAATAACAAATTCATACTGATGGTAATGTTATAACTGGTGCAACTATGAAAGATTCATCCTAAAGAAAAAGAACAAATTCGTACTGATGGTAATGTGATAACTGGTGCTACTATGAAGATTCATCCTAAAGAAAAAGAACAAATTCATGCTGATGGTAATGTAATAACCGGTGCAGCTATGGAAGATTCATCCTAAAGAAAGAGAACAAATTCAAACAGAAGTAATGACTGATAATTCACAGACAAATTCACAAGTTTCTAGTGGACAGGGCACTGCTCTTCTAATTCGGCAGCTTCTGCATCATGCTTGGTTCCAAATGTATTGATATTATCTTTCATTTGAAATAAGCAAAGCAGGCTGATAGATCCTGATGCAGGAGATACACACTGTCTCTACAGTACTGCCCAGGCCTTGTGCTATGAACAGGAGGAACCTCTTTCCCATGCTTTCCTACAGCACAATGCAACACTATCATCTGACAAAACAAACAGGTGCCAGAAAGTTTACAAAAACATCCAATTAATGTGCATTTATTATCATCATCACCAGAATTTCAGATCAGTTAAATGTTTTTGTCTTGCCCCCAACCATCTGACCAGGCCATTAGCTATTTTTTTCTCTTTGCTTTCCTCTTGCTCTCTTTCCATCAATCTTTCCAGTTGTTACCAAGTTATCAATTCCATTCCTTCTCATATCATGTCCAGCAAAAAAAGACCGTCTAAGTCTAATTAACTGCACAACAGGGCAAAACAATTACAGATGTTAATAATTAAGGGTTTCCGTTTAGGAGGAATGAGGAATATACCCACTATCCCTCTAACAAACATACCATAAAAAGGTGAAAAAACTAGTTTTTTTTTCTATAAAAACAAAACAAAATGTTCATACAAAACTAGTGTCATAGAACAAGACTGAGTCTAAAAGTTGATGAACAACCGGAACTTTACAATGGTTCAGTTTGCAGCTGGTGAATAATAAAATGAAGTAATTACTATGAGACATAAGTCTGCATAAATTAACTACCAGAAAGATCAAGGACATTAAAGACAGATCAACAGAGGTAAATAAATTTAATCTCCTCTGAATGATGGGTCTAAATGATCTAGGTCAAATATCAACCCTTACAGGGCCTCAATAGTTGTTTCCATTTGAGTTGCATCCATAACCATAACCCTTCAATTGTTTGAGTGTTAGAGTTAGGGCTAGGGTTAGGGTTAGGGCCCTAATTCAGTAATAAATAAATCGGCAGGTCTGACATCTACAGCTGCCAGTTTATCAATCGGTAGAATATTATTGCTAATCAGTGTGGGAGTGGATAGTCTGCCTGCCATATCTGCCGGAAATACATCCTAATTTGGCACACCATTGAGGCCCTGTTATGGTATATTTATACATGCGATAATTCCGAACCATCATTCAGAAGAGAGCCATACATTTTATGAAGGTTAAAAAAGTATCATCGGGGGAAAAAAAGCAGCAGTCACTCATCAATAGATACAGAGTTTGTTGAGCTAATGAGTGAATGCAGCATGGCAGATGAGGCTCATGGTTACACAACATATCAATATAATCACCAACAAGTGCCTTGCCAGCTGGCGTAGGCGTTCATACATCTCCACAGTTCTCTATCTTTGGTGTTCTGGATTAATTCCTCTGATGATATTCTTTCATGTCACTGTCTTAATCAGTTCACCATAATTTCTCTTGGTCTACCTCGGCCTCTTCTACCAGTGATCTTTACAGTCATCACGATGTTCTTCGGTGCTCCTTTTCTCATCATTGCAAAGCAGGGCACTCACTTATCCTGACAAAAATTACTGTCAAAAGTAGAGGTAAAGATCCCAATGTAGACGTGGAAGGCAACAGGAAACCACCACCTTTTCTTTTAAAGTATTCATGCAGAGTCACAGATTTAATTTAGTGAACAACATTAATGGATGTCTTCGGACAGCCTCCTCCGGTAGGGACTATCATGAACCCCTGATGACACCAGACCGTCATCAGACTACATCAATATAAAGTAACCAACACTGGGTGAGAGCCTCATACTTACATCACTATGATCTTCATGTCCATCTCTGACATTATAGGTAAGGTCATTGGGAAGTTCTGTATTAAAGGTTTCTGCATAGTCTGGATACATCAGCAGTGAGTCTACAAGGCCTTTCACCTGCACACATTTCAGTACACAACAATTATCGTTAGGTACACTCTCATTACGCTATAGCAATATTCAAACTCAAATTGCACCTGGGTGTAATCAGAGGGTCTGGCCAGCTCACTACACTCAAATGAAGGACAAGACGGACATATAACCAGATACTGACCGCTACCATCAGTATTGGAACTCTGCGCTGGCTGCTGAAGATGAGGACGGAGCATGCATGGAAATGTCCCGAATGCTGTAGTGTCAATTTTTGACTCAACTCAAACCTAGTGCTACAGTTTCTTCTTCTTAGCATTCACTAACCGTAATCTTTGGCAGAAAGTTATGGTCGCTTGTCCACTTCTGGACCTTGATCTTGTTACAGAACTAGAATTGTGCATGCCCATCTGTTTTACAGATCTTTCTCATGTGTTAGCAGAGACTGTTGGTTCATTGCTTCTCAGGCAGATGCACTCCAACTTCAAAGGAAACACCCTGTATTGTTTTGTTTTTGCTATATACTGGTTGTGGGGGGACAGTGAATCTATTAACCCCCCCCCCCCCCCCCCCCAGCCCAGATGTGCCCCAGGACCAACACAAGGACAGTTCTACTATTTGATTAACCAGCATGCATCATTTCATAGATAATCATTCATATATGACATCATCATTATCATCAAGGGTTTTGCTGACTGGCATGGGCGATCATGCCTCTCCACAATTTTCAATCTGCAGCTGCTTGTATCAGTTTGTTGAAAAGCCTCCTCCATGCTATGACAAAAGGCTGTCACTTACATGACATTCAGATGGTTGTTTCATTTACATCAGTAGGTGTTAGATGCGTCCATGTGGTTGTATCAGTCACAATAGCAAGAGCAGTATACTTAAGGCTGGTTTGAAATTTATAATTATTGGTGCAGGAAATTTTATTACACACAAAAATTTATAATAAAATTCTGTATAAATGTTTGCACTGACCTGGATACACAAGAACTCGCAGTAGGCCAGAGATCTGACGTCACACCCACTGACACAGACAGGATCATCATAATCGAGGTCAGTGCCAAATATATCACCTTTGCCTTGGGATTAATATTCAAATATAGCGATGAATTTACAAAGTTTACATGTTTTGTTTAAAGACAATTTAGAAATTAAATTAAAAAACAATACCCTGAGACAAACAGAGGAATTTAAATATTTGGGAGCAATTTTTACATCTGACGGAAAACTGGACAGAGAAATTAGCTCCAGATGTGCCAAAGCTAATCAAGTAATGGGTCAACTATCTCCCCTGTTGACACACAAGTAGATACCTCGGAGTACAAAAGTGAATCTTATCAGAACTATTTTTTGGCCAACACTATGCTATCAATGCCAAACGTGGACACTTACATCCTCCAATGAACGTAAAATTGTGACAGCAGATATGAAATGCCTTAGAAGAGCTGCAGGAGTTTCAAGGAAAGAAAGAATGCGAAATCATGAAATCAGACGAATGCTAGGAATAAAACCAATCTTACAGGTCATCAAAGAACAACAAATGAAGTGGTTTGGACACCTAACAAGAATACCCTGGTACTATCCGCCACAGCGAGCCACACTAAAACGTTACAACAGGTATAGAGCGAGTGGAAGACCTCGAAAATATGGAGTGATGGCATTAAGAACAGACTTACAGAAATGAACATCAGTTTAATAGTGCTCTTGACAGAGCCTATCAACGAACATTACATCTCCCCCCGACACTTTGATGAGGTACAAGGTGGAAGAGAAGAAGAAGAAGACATGTTTTGTTTTTTGACAATAATAATATCATCCGAAGAAGAGCTGCATTTAGGAATGTCCAACATGTGTAGCTGCAGAGGTTTTACAATTTTGTTCTCGTTGTTTTATCAGAAGAAAAGGATTGGAAGAGGGAGTGCAAATTTTCGGGCCAAAAAATATAACTAGTAGTAACAAATGTTAATACATAAAGAGGGAGTGTGAAAAATTGCTGACTGCACAGGGGCGTCCTACATCCTGAATACCAACGCATCCAGAGATACAGAAAAGATTATAAACAGGTAAGCTTATATATACTTAATAAATTTTAAAAATACATTTTTAAATAATAAACGAATAAATTAATGAATGAATAGGCAATACACTACTTCAGAAATTCTAACCTGTGTCATATCACCTTTTTCAGTAGTCGACAGTAATACTGACAGTGTCAGTGGCAATCTGCTAACAATATATACCTTTTTTAATCTGTCTTGTCCCCTGCACATTGTCTTGTCAAGATTTTTGGCATTCTTCCCATTGAATTAGTCTTACCAATGTAAACACTCCGCCTCTATTGCACTTTCCCAAAGATCGTTCCCCTTATTTGCCTTATCCTAACATAACCAAAAATGATGAAAAGCTCCTTCTTATGTCTGTGGTAAATTGTCTTTGTGCCCTTACATCTTTAAAAAAATATGGGATATACAATATGGCTCTCAAAGGAATCTTAAACAAACTACTGTAAAACCACATCTCCTCACATACAATCTTTATTTGTAGCCCACCTAAAATAGGGTTTATGTGTAGCCTACCTTATATGGCCTTTATATGTAGCCTACCTAATATGGCAACAACTTGGTCATCCTTCAAAACTTCTAAACTGCCACTGCAGACGTAGTATAGGTAGTTCACAGTATCACCCTAAAAAGTCAAATCAAGAGTATTTCATTGACATTTAAAATATTTTTACATTTTCATAACCAAACAAACCTTGTAAATAACAGTTACGTCCTAGTGAGACTTAAGATTAACAAGCCTTATAAAAAACATAAACAAAGAAAAAGTTTGATTTTCAAATAGGATTAAGGCACTGAAGAGGTTATTTAATTTTTACATATTTTAAGATAAATACAATTCCTGACTGGGTTTGTATTTTTAAGCAATGCATGTGGAGGAATTAGGAATTAGGAAGTGCAACATGAAGACCTAGTGTTGTGGCACTGTAGATCAGGCCTTAAGTCTTCGAGGCAGCTGGTCTGGGAGGAAAACTATGACAGCTGAAGTTGAGCTGAGCTGAGTTGAGTCAATATTTTACATCACAGCTTTCGGGGCATTCCCATGCATGCTCCGTCCTCATCTTTAGCAACGAGGGCAGAGTTCTAAAGTTGATGGTACCGGTGAAAATCTGGTCATATGTTCATCTTGACTTTCCTCTGAGTGTAGTGAGTCGGCCAGACCCTCTGGTTACACCCAGATGCCTCATTCTCGCCAGGCCATAATAATCTTCTTTCTCTACTGATTCCGTTGCTTGTTGCAAAAGGGCCTTGATCACATCTGCCTTGTCATGTATCAATTTACCACCCAGTGGTGCAGATCCAGCCAATCTGTCTGAGTGTTCATTACCCACCACCCCGGCATGACCTGGAGAAAAGATTCAAAGTATGCTTACTACCCGTGACCTTTTGATTGAAGTTTGCCACTCTGCTCGAAGCATCCCTGACTTCACCTTTGTCAGCATGCTTTCAGAGTCTGTTACAATTATGACAAGATAATAAGAAGACTGTTCAAGTTGTAGATCAGAAGTTGTGCAAGTTAGATATATCCCCTAGAGGAACAAGTGATGACCAGCGACAGTAACAAATTGATGCAACTGGTGGAACAACAATTTATATTTGATTGCAAATTCAGTGTTTTCATCTGGTGTTATTGTTGCTTAACTTAATCAGTTAGAAGAGAGGTTGCTGTTTGTTGGTCAAGAATTGAGCCAAGGTGATGCAGTTTAATATTTAAAAAAGCATCTTCCAGTCTTTAGTAACTAACATGACTGTAGTGTTCTGTTTGGGTAGATGACAGTAACAGCCACAATTGTACTGAAGCCTTCATCTTCTTCTTTACATTCACCGACTATGAATACTCCAGCAGAAAGTTCTGGTTGTTCGTCCACTTCTGGACTGTGGTCTTATTCCAGAAAATGAGCTTTGTGTGCATATCCTGTTTACAGATTTGCCTTACTTGTTTGCAGACTGTTGGTTCTTTACCTTGCAGGCAGATGTACTCTGACTTAAACGAAACCCCTGATTAGTCGACACAACATGCTTGTTGGGATGGCAGAGAGTCTATTCTTGTTTTTCCCCCCAAAATGGGAGCCCCGTGACCAACACCTGTAATACTGAAGCCAGGAAACATAATTGTGATAATAACTAATCTATTCACATTTTGCATGTTTAGTTTACAAGATCATAGGTAGAATGTGACATTGTTGTGAATGTCATTTCAATTTTGTTTTAAAGAGGCACCAGTAAATCTGGTTTCGTACACACCAATGAAAGTGTTTATTTCAGTTACTTGTAAAGTCCTGGGAAATAAAGGGGCCCAACATGGTGTTGACCACATTACAGAACTTTGTATAATTGTGTTGTATGGTGATAAAGGCTGAGTAATCACAATGTCAGTTTTGTTCCACTGTTCAAGTGTGCTATAGAGATTTTGTGACAGATACATGCATTTCTGTACTGATGTTTGTATCTTTGAATTTGTAGTGTTGTGTGTTGATAACTGCTTTCTAGCCACAACATTCATTTTGTTATTTGTGATTATGTTAACAGTGCAGACCTGTTAAAGGGGAACTCTCTGGGGACACAATAAATAGTTATTCAGAAATTCCTCTTATCCAGACAAAAGTCCAAGTAAGAAAAAGTGCCTGCGATAAACAAACTGTTCTTCACAACACAAAATCACCACATTCGAGACTGCCTTAAGCAGTCTGCACTGTACTGTTAAACAGACCAATTCACATATAGACTTATATTTTTTTAAGATACTTAGAGATTGTTGTACTACACTTTTCCATCTTTGCTATGGAGAGTCATGAGAATCATGGCCCATGACGATGGCGATTGTGACTAGAAGAAGGTACGCCAGCTTCAAGAAAAAGTCTTCCACGATTAGAGCATGGGACCCCAGGACCATTGTTGCACATGTAATAATTTATGGGCTTCTTCTCAGATGCTCAGCTCTCAATCTATCTGCAATCATTCTTTCCTTTATTCCAACTAATTTTTCTTCATCCCTGCAACATACTGTGCTACATACTGGACTACATACTGTGCTACATTCTGTTACATACTGTACTAATACTTTACTACATACTGTACTACATGCTGTGCTACATTCTGTTACATACTGTACTACATACTGTACTACATCCTGTACTACATACTGTGCTGCATACTGTGCGACATACTATGTTACATATGATGCTACATTCTACTACATACTGTGCTACATACTGTACTACACACTGTGCTACACACTGTACTACATACTGTGCTACAAATTGTGCTACATACTGTATTACACACTGTGCTACATATTGTGCTACATTTGAGCTACATACTGTACTACACACTGTACTACACACAGTACTACACAGTGATACTATCTTTCTAACTCCATAATTAGTGTAATTTATAACATTGACATTCTGCATAATAAAAACTGTACATTTTGTTTTGATGGGCTTTATTATTACATGTTGGACATATATTCAAGCTTCTGTATTACCAGTGTTTGTTCATATTTAACTATTGAACAATGTCATAATTCCATAATTAGAGCAATTGATGACATTCACCTTTCGCATAATAAACTCCCCAGGTCCACAGACAAAGCGTTCTGTTTGCAAGGAGATGGTTTTCAGACAACCAGGTGGTGCCTGCTGAAAGATCGGAAGAGACAGAATCTCCCTGTGCAAGTGAAGCCCAATCTCTCCTTTCATATCCACTGGAAAATCTTTGACTATCTGAAAGTTATAAGTGCACATTTTAGGGAATATATTTGTCACGCTAAGTAATTTTTGAATTAATTATTGCAAACAAAAAGGAAACATGAATAGATAATCATCATCTTCAGAGAATGGGGTAATAGGAAGTCACAATGAGATCTGGCACAGTCTCAACATTCAGAGAAATGGCAAGATGAATGGCGAACATAGAATCAGATCTACTGAGGCCAACAGTATTGGAATTCTGAGCTGACTGCTGACAAAAGAAGGGGAATGTATCACTTATGGGAATATTCTGTGCAATGTGATGTCACATTTATTGAAAGTGACAGCAGCTACAATGATAATAACCAAATCACCTATTGAGTCATGACTGGTCTATAAAAATATGGACAAACCCAATATGCCCAGTTTGCATTAGGCATAGTTAAGTTAGTTGCATATCATTATATCATTTACAGGACACTGCAGAACCAACCCCCGCAATTTTTTTTTTTTATTTGGCAATTGTGGTTTTTTCAGGCAAATTTTACGTTCAGTAGTATACCAGTGCTTTCTGACCGGTCAGCTGTGGGTACCACTGTCGAAACCAACGCAAGACAAATCGCCCGCAGCTGAGATCGAACCCGGCAACTCGACATTACGAAGCGCGTTCGCAACTCATTTACTTCCCTTTAAATTTTTGCATTCGAAGGGACATAACTGTAAATACAAACTTTTGGTTTAGTTCACGTCAGACTTCTGCCCCCTTATATCCATGGCTACATCTATGAATAAATGCTTGCCCTTTTTCTCGGTAACTGTTTTTTTGTTCAACATTATAATCATGGGAGATTACAGGTCATGATCTTCCATGATGGCTAGTCTAAAACTAGGCTTTTGTTCGTATTTCAAGCATTTCATTTAACCAGCCATTTAATTATTTATTTATTTTCTGTTTTTCTCTTTCTCATTTCTCATTAAATTTGCAAGTAAGAGGTTACTGTTTCTTTTTTCTTGAAAAAAAAAAAAAATCTTCGGTGCCCACTAAAACAATCATGGGGTGTAATCAATTTACCATTTCAAATTATAATGTCGTAGGGGTATAGGGTGTAGAGTGGTAACCTCCCTTTCCCAGGCAAAAGTAGCTTGTCCAGCATTTCACTTCTTCACTTAAATTAAATGTCTGTCCACTTAGAATTTGCCATTATCTACACTACAGCAGTTGCGTTCATCTGAATGGACTCAAGAAACAACTTCATAGCACTCCCTTTTACACTGTCCTCGTCATCAATAGCCAGCGATAAGTTCATATTCCAATAATGCCAGTAGCACTGTGAATATTATGTCCACCCCGTGTGTGTTCCGCGGCCCCAGGATGGAAAAAAAAACTAGAACAGACCCACTGCCTAACTAACAAGCATGTTGTAAGAGTCGACAGAGTAGGGGTTTATTTCGAAGTCGGAGTGAATCTGTCTAAGACACATGGAACCAACAGTCTGCATGCAAATAAGCCAGATCTGTGAAATGGATGTGCACACAACACTTAAGTTCTGCAACAACACTAAAAATCCAGAAGTGGATGAACAATCAAAACTTTGCATCTTGTATCAAAAGCTAACAGCCTGTGAAAATGAAGAAGATTAAGAATATATCAGATAATCAGCTACGTGAAAGTGTGTAAGAATCTCGGATAAAACTTGGTACAAAGTCAATCTTCTTACCTGTAAACTTCATCCCTTATTTCTTTCTATCTAAAGTCACCAGACCAACTGTATTGAGTCTGTTATGGTTTTGTTTCTAAACATGCCATTGACGTAATTAGCGCCAAAGTTTAAAGATAACAAACATTACCTAGTTCCACAATGGTCAGTTCTACCCAGGACAGATACACAGATACATAGATACACAGATACACACAAAATACAATTTTTAGAATCTTACTTCTTTGAAGTCTATGCCATTGTTGATTGACCACATTGCTTGAAAGTAGTCCCTCATTCTGTTTCTGAGATGCCTCGGAAAACGGTGAATGCGGAAAAAATCCTTCAGATCTTTTGTCTTGGAGTGAAATATTGCTCTTCTGGCATACATTCGTTGTATGATAGTTGTCACATTTCCAAATACAACGGCATGCATGATGGCTGGCAATATAATAAAATTATAAAAATGAATATAGTAGTAGTAATTATTCAAACAATATCCTCTTCAACCCTCAGAGATACATAGTGTTAATTGAGTTCTCCGAGTATATAATTGTTATCTTGAATGTATATATCATGTAATTATTGACATGACCAAAATGAAATGTGTATTGTTTCAAATTTTTCTTTGATTTGTTTTGTCATTATGATTATAACAATGTATTATACAGTCAATAGTCTGACGATGCGATAAATATTTATAGAGGTAATTTATTAGAGATGAGCCTGTGCACGCAGGCCCATCTGACATTCGGCCCTTTTAAGCACTCATTTTTCAGAGTACCAATGCTGTTATCAATAATGCATGTTATGGATATAATAAAGAAATATGCATTATAGAATAATGCATACACACATTATGTGTACACAATCTTACACACACACACATGTATATACACTCTTACATTTTCATACATGCACTTTCATATACAGACATACCTAATACATACAACAAATTAACATGCATCTACATACATACACAAACAGAAAAGACACACACATACACATATTGACATACATGCACACACACATTCATTTCCTACATACACACCTACACACGCATGCATGCATACACACGGGTAGAAAGAACAGGTAAACTGCCACCAACAAGCATGTTGCAAAAGGCGACCAAGTTTTGATGAAATGAGATACTGAATAGAGACTTTTCGACATCACAGCACCTGGGACATTCTACAAGTACCCATTCCCAGTCTTCAGTAACTAACATAGAGTTCCAGTTCCAATGCTATTAGTAGCAGTCTAATTGTATGTCTGTCTTTCCTTTCCTCTGAGCGCCGAGTGTCAGCCACACCCTCTGGTCACCCTTCCTCGCTACACCATTCTCTTCAAACTATGATGATATATTTGTGCCTCTGCTCTACCGAAATAAAATCAGATGTGAGGGGCTGAAAGGCGCACATATTACAGTCTAGCTGTAAACGACAACGCAATGTGCCAACTACTCTTTTGGTGAATACAGAAAGGGGAGTTATGAACACTGTGTTACAAATATTATTTTTGTAAAGACTATTGTAAAGACCATGATGCATGGACCTATGGACCAGTGTTCTTCAATATTTGGGTAACGACCCACTGGTCAGCCATGGGATAGTCCCTGTGGGCCGCTACAAAATTTTGCTTAATCATGTAACGAGGTGCGATGGGTGGTTTTTTCTTTTCCAGTCTCTAGGGTTAACACCGCAGTGACTTCCCATTTGTGGGGAAAAGACTTTTTCAGACATGACAGTTCGAAAAAAAAAAAAAAAGAGAAATCAAATAGATGTTTATTGTAGTGCTTCATATATATAATACACTGCTCGATTCGCATATCAGATTGTTAAATCTCTAGGTAACAGCAAATGTCGCATCAGCTGAAAACTATGTGACATTGGAGTTCAAATAAAGTGCTGTAAAAAAAAATGTGTTGTGTCATATTTAGTTAGCTGTCACTTGTGGTCCACCTAACAATTTCCAATGCTTTGGTGGACAGCGGGGTAAACAGTATTGATGAGCACTAGTATAATTAATAATTTATAGACCAATGGGTATTTAAGCAGTGATGTGGTCAAAATTGATTACTTATGGGTACCCACCTTGAGCTGGGTCCAACTGGGAACCAAGATTAGTTACAGAAAGCTGCCCTCCTAATGTTACCTTTCTTTATGTATTCTAATCAATACATGTTAACTTATTTATTAATTAAATATAAAAAGCTGCCCTCCTAATGTTACCTTTCTTTATGTATTCTAATCAATTCATGTTAACTTATTTATTAATTTAAAAAAAAAAAGTTGCCCTCCTAATGTTACCTTTCTTTATGTAATCTAAAATTATTAATTAATTAATTATAAAAAGCTACCCTCCTAATGTTAGTTTTTTTCTATGTAATCTAATCAATACATGTTAACTTATTTATTAATTAAATATAAAAAGCTGCCCTCCTTATGTTACATTTTATCTATGTAATCTAATAAATGCATGTTAAAATTATTAATTAATTAATTAATTATAAAAAGCTACCCTCCTAATGTTAGTTTTTTCTATGTAATCTAATCAATACATGTTATCTTATTTATTAATTAAATATAAAAAGCTGCCCTCCTTATGTTACATTTTATCTATGTAATCTAATAAATGCATGTTAATTTGTTTATTAATTAATTATAGAAAGCTGCCCTGCCATCTCTACTTCTTTCTATGAAGGCTAATCAATACATGTGAATTTGTTTATTTATTTATGAAAAGCTGCTCTCCCATCATTATTTCTTTATATGAAAGCCAATCAATACATATTAATATTTTTATTAATTTTAAATTAATGCCGGGGTGCCTGGTCCGATTCGGGCTGCAAACCGTTTGTCTTCTGTTGGTTTCGACGGTAGTACAGGGAGCTGATCGTTAATTTTGCTGTAGTAAACTGCTGAAGGTAAAATTTGCCTTTAAAAAAACGACAACAGCTAAACAATGTTGGGGTTAGTTCTGCAACGTCCTGTAATGGATACGCAACTAACTAACTGCACATAGTTGTATGCTCAGCTGCCAGCTCAAAGATGTTGGGTTAGAATCTACAATGAGACATATTATTTCCAAACTGTCCTTGACTCCCAGGCCACACCCCCCCCCCCCTAAGGGCACCGTAGCCGCATCAAACCGCATAGTTACACACCGCAAAGAAAGAAGACAGAGACAGCAATTAAGCCTCTTGGAAATGTAATATGATTTACATAATTAAAAAGAAATCATATGATGACTATATACAGACCTGTGATGGAGAAATAGAAGAAGACAAAGTAAGAAGATTCTTGAGTCTTTTGTCATTGCATGGACCAGTGTCCGTACACGAACTGATGATAAATGCTTTCGGGGATGGCAGGTTGTGGAAAGGTATGATACGCTCAGGGCTTCTAGCAAAACACTTGGTGATCAAAATGAGGATGATGATGATAAGGATAATACGACGGCCGTTTGCCACAGGCTCTGAAGGTCGTGGGTTCTTTCTACGGCTGCGCCCTTCAGTTCACGAGTGCAATTTTTATGGCGATCCCTGGGGATCGTCGCCGGAGCTACTCAGTTCGGGGTCTTTGCGGCGCTCTCGGCAGGTTGTTAACCGTTCTGCGGAGAGAGACCAAACAGTATGGGATAAAACCCGGTGCAATGAAGTCAATTCTCTCGACTTTAACCTGCTACTTTAAGTGATAACTTACCTCCAAGTAACATAGCACAGACTGAAAATATCTTTTCCACATTAGTGTTAGCAGAAACATTGCCAAATCCAACGCTGGTTAGACTAGAGCATGTGAAGTATAGGGCTGTAATGTATGACGTCATCATATCCGGCACGTGTGACTTGTTGACAATCACCATGTCTAGTCGCTCGGCCAGTTCATACAGCCACCCTGTGTGTTAAAAGAGGTCAATTTGATTAGATCAAGTAGCAGAGTTTTCATGTTGGTAACATTTTGTGGTGCTTTGTTAATATCCTACCCCAAACAGGTGAAATCCACAGGTCACGCCAAAGTCTAATATTTCAGGGGGCGGTAGATAGGTTGCATGCAATCGTAGGACATAGGCTGCACTCTCTCGTAGAACGTAGGTTGGTTGGGGTCATAGCCAGTTCTAGATGTTTTAGGGTCATTAAAAGCAACAGAAAGTCGGGAAACCCAGTCTTACCACCCTCTAAAATGTTGGACTGTCATGTGACGTCAATTGGGGTAGGATAATAATAAAGAACCCATTTTCTTCTTATGGATAAATTCTTATTTCGGTTGTGCTTTTAAAATAACATAGGGCTCGCAGTCTATTCTTCATTTCGTTCTATTTTGTGCATTCGGTCACTTCTACATAATGGAGGGAATCCAGTCAGCGCCTTTTGCTTCTCTCATCAACGTCTGACTTAGAGTTTCTCAAGGACGTCCTCGTTTTCTCAGTCCCACTATTTCCCATTGGAGAGGAAATACACAAGCAGTCTATGCCGTCCCCATGTGGGATGCAATTTTTAGTTATTTGAAGCCCCACCCTGGCTTTTGCCGGGGGCCCTAATAGGAATAAACTCACAGGGAGCAAGTACAGCGGGGATCTACCAGTCATCAGTAGAAATTATCCTCGTCGACACACGTTTCGGCCCACGATTCCTAGACGTATTCGGAGGTGGGCCCTCCTGAGTTCATGACGCTCAGGGCTGGTTCCCCGCTGCACGGAATTACCGGATGGTGTTATACTTTCGGCCAGAGACAAGACGACTTGGTGGTTTCGAAGGAGGTACTGTGAGATAAGAAGCCGCCACGGCAGCTTAATTAAAGCAGTCAGCGTGCCTGGTCGACCGAGCGACAAGCTTACTTTGGTTTACCGGACACATGTTGGACTTTTAATAGCAGCCGGACCTGAAATATGGTCTAACGGCTGAAATGGGTTTCCGGGACCTCTCCACGGGTGATCCTCATCCGCATGGTGACACTTTGTGTTATTGGGTGTTTGTCTAGGGATACAACTACCTGCCTACCCCAGGCAATAAGGAACACGTAACTTGATCAGATTTAAACCTGCACATTGGGAGTCGCTGAGGACCGGAAGGTCATGGGTTCGCGACCTAACAGAGTCGGACTTTCTTTCAAAAATGACCTTGACTCCCGGGTCGACCCAGCCTTGAGTGGGTACCAGGTGCAGATCTGGAAAGCAAAGGCGGCCGGCGTGATGCTGACCACATTTACCTACCAAGTGCTGATTCGTCTATAAAACTATACGTCTAGCCCTATATTCACAATACCCCTAAAGGTGCGGAAAGGGGACCTTTAAGCCTGCACAAAGAGACGGACACGACCCGGCGCCAGATAGAGACAGAAGACATAACATACTATCACTAAACACTTCACATTGAAATATTTGTCATAATTATAGCCGATATTGACAAGGAGGAGACTATTCCCTAGTCAGAGGTTAAACGTGACTTATTGAAATTCAACGAACAAACGTTCGTATCACCCTGCGAGTGCCGATTAGTTTATAAAATATATGTCTAGCCCTACATGCCATATATGCCAAATACGCCTAAAGGCGTGGAAAAGGGCCCTTTTACTCTACTTTTACTATATATGGATTTACCAGAGAGGCAGTTATTGGCTCTGCCCATAAGTTATTCAGTTTGTAAACTGAGCTGATCGGCGTCTGTGGCACAGGCGTTGCGAACGCGCTTCATAATACCAGAGTAAAGGGTTCGATCCCAGCTGCGGACGATTTGTCTTGCGTTGGTATCGACAGTGGTACAAAGAGTTGACTATTCAGGAAGCAATGGCAAACTACTGAGCGTAAAAATTTGCCTAGAAAAACAATAAAGCAACAACAACAACAAAAAAATTGCTGCAGTAGGTTCTGCAACGTCCTGTAAAGGATACGCATCTAACTTCTAACACTGAGCTGAGATTCTCCATATGTGCCCTCTGGAAGCAGATGCCCCCAAGCTGCCCCCCCCCCCCCCAAGCCTCCCCCTCTTCCCTAAGTTATTTTAAAAAAGAAGACTAAGCCTTAATTGGAGATGTCTAGGGATATATATACTTACCCACAGTCCAGTTAGCCCCACCCTCGTCTAGCTCAGCCTTGCCTATTGCGTACCAGATGCAAGCCAGCCAGTGAGCGATCAAGGCAAACATACACAGCAACAGGCCCAACACAAGAATGCTGTACTGGTTATATCTTTCAAACTTCTGCAGCAGCCTGGCCAACCTCAGCAGACGCGCAACTTTCAATAAATGAACCATGGTTGCCTAGGGAGTCAAAAGGAAAGTACAATTATCTTTAGTTGATTCCAGTACACTGTCAATGCGCACAAGGATAAAGTAAGGAAAATACTTACCTTACAGGAAATAGCAATTCAAACTATATTTTATACCCCAGTTATGAACCTGAAGAGTTTAGCATGACTAAATCAATACATTTTAATTATTAGAAGATAAATTTAGACAGAATAATACTTTTAAAAAAAAATGTACATTTTTTTTTATATCAGAAAACGTTATTTCAAATAAACGATATTATTTTATTATTTCAACCAAAAAAAAAAAAAAAAAAAAACAACTAAACTATAGCATTTTGAGGTAATGTAAAAAAAATGTTTCTTGTTTAGCGCAGTTGTAATTTCTAAATACTTTGCCCCAGTTGCCCTGTGTCTAGTTGACGCATATTAGTGCTGGAATGATATGCGGGCTATATTGAATATATAAATTTTAGTAGTTGTATACTCTATGAGACTATACCAGAAATATTGAAAGAGATAAAACCAAAATTCAACAAATAAACGAAAGCTTCACTACATACATGGGTCGCTTCAAAGGAGAAGAAAATAGGTTGGGATTAGGAATATACATGGCACAATGGAAAAGCAAGAAATTGTAAGTCTCACGAACAACATTGCAGAAATGGCTACAGTTCTAAAAGCTTTGTTAACCATTGATATGATTTGACATTTCTATTAAATGAGGTGTCAATATGTATGGCTGTAAACAACATCAAGGCATGAAATGGGCCTTTCAGGTAGACATCTTTACAGCTACTATTTATCTGAAGACATCGAGGTCAGGAAAGGAGATCTGTAACCAGTTTCTTATAAGAACAATCAGTAGGGGTCTCTTGGAGTGGCAGCTGCATCGGAGGACTGAGCAAGCAGAGGAGGTAAAGCGACGTCGATTGTATTAACATACACATCTAACCACCAGAGGGAGGATAGTCAGCGCTGTTTGCAAAGGATACCAGCACAGACGGCAATTAACAAGTGTACGAAGAGCGAAAGGCAGAGACAATTAAAAAATAAAACATTTACTGGAAGACATGCATATCAAGTAAGTACCCTTTGAACTCAAAATTTCCCTGTGTGGCTTTTGGGGCCCCATTGTGGAGATAACAATAATAAACCCACTGCCTCCCAAACAAGCTACTCCTAAGAGTCGACTAATTAGGTGCTTACATAGAAGTAGGAGTGCATCTGCTTGAGAGGCAAGGAACCAACAATCTGCATCTAAGTAAGTAAGATCTGTAAAAGGGATGTGCTCGCAATGCTCAGATTCTGGAACAAGACTAATCTCCAAAAGCGGACGAACAACCAGAACTTTCCGCCGGAGTTTAAAGCTGGTGAACGCGAAGAAGATGAACTCAAAATTTACTGCATAAACATATTATCGAGGCTAACAGCTTGGAACGGTTTGTTTTACTCAGAAAGAAAGTAACTGGGCCGAATGACAGAAGGTTAAAAATACCGAACACTATTTACTAGAGTGTCGGCTCTGTGGCTAAGTCGATGCGAACACTTCGTAATAGGGTTGTTGGGGTTGGTTCTGCAACCTCCTGTAAAGGATACGCAACAACAAATTTACTAGAGTGCATGACATAGGAGCTCCAGAGGATATCGGTAATTAAGAATATGACCCACTGAAATGAGTCGGTGACAATGGGAGACATATTCAAGTTAGTAAACATCACAAAATTATGGGGAGATATGAAATAGTTTATCACAGGGAAAATATCCCTCTCTCAATCAATCATCCCTTTAGAGAACTTCACTTTCTTTTCGGCACGCATGAAAGTCTCTCTTTCATTAACCAATTGTCCAGCCCTATGTGCTTTCACGGCCAATGCATCTTCAATGCCCTGTATCCACATTCACGGAATTCGGCCTCTGCTGGAAACTACAGCTTCCATCACAGCTCTTCCCAGACCACCATGGCGTTTCATCAGTTCTCGTTATGCTTAGTGGTACATGAGGCTTCAGAGAGGACTTTCCATGCTTTCCTGTCCTGTGCAATCTTCAGTGCAGTTTTCCCATGTCAAAGATGCCGCACTCAGTTCACTTTCCATCGTTCGTCTCCATGTTGTTTTTGGGCGCCCCTGTTTTCTCTTTCCCTCTGGTGTCCATGTGAGAGCTGTTTTGGCAGGTATATCAGAAGTCATTCTCATAACGTGGCCAAGCCATTTCCATTTTCTCTTGGTAATCATACTGTCTAACGTTTCTTGGTTTGTGGCTTGAAGTAGTTTAGTGTTTGAGATTGTATCTAGCCAGAAAATTTTGATAATTCTACGTAGACATGTGTGGTGGAAGGTGGACAGCTTGTGTGCATCCTTTTTGGTCATTCTCCAGCATTCCGCTCCATAAAGAAGAACTGGCAAAATGATGCTCTTGTTGAGTCGGAGTTTCATTCCTCTGAAGTAATTGTTGGATTTCCAGATTTGCCCCATCCTTCCAAAAGCAGCTCTAGCTTTGTTCAGACGTGACTGTATGTCTTCCTCTGTCCCTCTCAGTAGGGACACCACACTGCCAAGATATGTGAAATGTTCTACATTTTCAAGTGATTGGTTATTTATGGTCACTGGTTGTTGGCTTGGACTGTTTGTCATGATCTTAGTTTTCTTTGTATTTATTCTCAGTCCCACCATTTCTGCTGTGCAGTTTAGCCTGTTACTTTTCTCTTGTATATGTTCATGTTTATGTGATAGGAGTGCTTTATCATCTGCAAAATCAAGGTCCTCAAGCATGGTGGATGGAGTCCATCGTATACCTCTTAATGTCCTGTCTACTGTGTTCTTTAGTATCCAATCAATCACAAGGTTGAAGAGGAGAGATGACATAACACATCCCTGTCTTACACCCGTCTTTACTGGGAAAGATGTATTGTAATTTTTTTTACTGCAGGAACAGTCTTTATAGAAGAGAGCAATTATGTTGACTATTTTTTTCTGGAATTCCATAATGTCGTAAAGTTTTCCACAGACCGTCTCTATGGACGCTGTCAAACGCTTTCTCAAAGTCCACAAAATGAATATATATACTTCTCTGCCATTCGTTGCATTGTTCTAAAATGTTACGTATGGCGAAGATGTGCTCAGTTGTTCCTCTGCCCTTTGTGAATCCTGCTTGTTCCACTCGTAGGCATTTATCTACTCCTTTTTCAAGCCGCATTATGATGATTTTACAAAATATTTTGCTTGGTACTGAGAGTTGAGTAATTCCCCTCCAATTGTTGCAGTCTGTTAAGTCTCCCTTTTTGGGGATTTTGACTATTGTTCCTTCAGTCCAGTCATCAGGCAACACTTCTTTTTCCCAAATATCCTTGAACAATGGTTCTAGAATGCTAGCAGTTGTGTTGGGATCTACTTTGAGAAGTTCTGCTGGCAGTTCGTCTTTGCCTGGTGCTTTGTTGTTCTTTAAAGTGTGGATAGCGTTACGGATTTCTTGTTTGCTTGGTGGTTCAGTAATAATGTCAATGTCCTGAGAGGCTGGTTGAATATTTGGGGGATTTTCAGGATCAGATCGGTTCAAGAGGTCGGAGAAGTGTTTAGTCCACTGCATGTCTTGTTTTTGTTCTGTTGTGAGCAGTCTGCCTTGGTTATCTCTGATGGGTATGCTGTGATAATTGTTTCTGTTTCCGCAAATTTGCTGGGTAATTTTGTGTAGGGTTTGTAGATCATGTGCTTTAGCAGCATTTTCTGCTGTTTCTGCAAGATTTTCCATAGATCTTCTCTTGTCAGCTCTGGCACATTTCTTGGTCATTTTATTTAGTTCGCTATATTCTAACATTAGTTTGTCTTTCTGACGTTCTGATTTAGTGTGATTTATGAGGCTCTTTATTCTTTTTCGCTTTGCAATATAGTCCATCGTTTGACTACTTATTCATTCTATGTGGTGTTGTTTCCTGGTTCCTAATATGTTATTGCTAGTTGATTTGTATGTTTCTTTGATCTGGTTCCATCTGTCTTGAATGCTGATTGTAGTTGGAGTTTCAGGGTCACTTGATATGGTTTGAAATCTATTCTTGAGTTCTACTATAAATTTAGTGGCAATGTCTTTTTCTCTTAAAAGGTTAACATTGTAACGTGCTGTCTGTGTCTTAACTTGCTTGTAAAGTTTTTTGAGTTTAAGTCGTAGTAGAGCGACTACAAGGTGATGATTGCTTCCCACATCTGCTCCCCTTTTGACACGCACATTGAGTAGGGACCAACGCCATTTTCTGTTTACCATGAAATGGTCGATCTGGTTTACATCTCTTCTGTTTGGGGATATCCATGTAAGCTTGTGTATATTCTTGTGAGGAAATAGTGTTCCTCCTTTAACAAGTCTATTCGCCGTGCAGAAGTCGCCCAGTCTTTCCCCGTTGTTATTAATTGTACCACATCCTTGATTTCCCATTGATAGTTCTCTATTCAAGTTGTTGTTACCAACTTTTGCATTAAGATCTCCCATAATGCATAGAATATCATGGGCTAGTACTTTATCTACTACCTCTTGCAGTCTCCTATAGAATGTTTCTTTATCTTCAGCTTCATTAGTCGGTGGGTAGCATTGGATGACTGTAAGTTTGGCATGTTTACCATTGAATCGTGCTGTCATTATTCTTTCATTGATTGGATGCCACTCGATGAGATGTTTGTGTATACCTTTCTCTAAAATAAGTGCCAGGCCTGCAGAATGTAGGTTATCATCTCTTCCAGAGTATATTATGGTTTCTCCTGTACCTGTTGTGGATTGTCCAAACCCTGTCCACCTGCTTTCACTAATTCCAAGAATATGCAGTTTATAGTTCTGCATTTCTTTAATTACTTGGGCGGTTTTGGCTGTTTCAAACATGGTTCTTACATTCCAGAAGCCAATTCTTAATTTGGTTTTGGCATCCAGCAGACTTGTTTTCCCAACATGGGCTTCCTTTCGGCTTTCACCCATATTGTTCATGCTGACAGAGGGACTCTGTCCCAAGACCACCGGACGTTTAGAGCACTTATT